TGTTTTGACCATAGACCTTTTTTTCAGGCATTTTGAGCTTTTAGAGTGCATTGTCAGCATTGTGATATATTTGAAATAAATGTCTGTAAAAGGGCAAGGTGAAATATTGGTCCAGTTCAGACAGGCTCCGTGCGACAGTGTGAGATGCAGGTAGCTGGTCTGGTGCGCTTCTCCAGCCCCATGTGCCCAAAGGTAGATAACTCTGATAGAATTTACAGGTCTGCCACCACAATTAATAAATAAAATCAGTAAAAATATATGTTCTTGATGGAAGAACTTCTTGACCAGAAGAGAAGTAATACCCTTTCCAGTTTGTATCATGAAAGAATTACTCTACCAGTTTCTTCCGAAGCACTACTACTTTTAAGTCTAAATGCAGTGCTGCTTCAAAGCAGTACCCAAGGGCCCTAGGGATCTCAGAGGACCCCAGGATCTCTGCCGCTTACCTGACAAAAGGGATTAAGGTGGAAGGTGTTGCTGAATTATTAGGGTTTTTTTGTCATTTGATTTTAATGAGTCATTGTCTAAAGATCACTATTGTTAAATAAAATTCTTGGCCCTGGGTTTCCCACAGCAGCGTCTCAGACATCAATTCATAGAAAATAAATTAGTAATTGAGTGGCACAGGAGTAGGAGTAGCTCAAGCTGGTGCCGCCAGGGAGGGACCCAGAACAAAGAAATTCCTGGTGTTTCATATACCCTTACATTCCATTCACCCAACCATCACACACTGTTCATGTGCCTTGCACATGCCTCTTAGTCCAGTGGTGAATTTTGGTCTGGGGTCTCCTCATCCGTTATTGGGTTTTTTCCTTATCTCGAGGCCAGCTGTAAATTCCTTCTTATCTCTCTCTGGTTTCTTGCTCCTTGCTAACTGGATGCAATGCCTTTATCTTCCAATTTGCACTGGTCTCAAGGCCTTTGTTTGCATAACTAAGCGCAGGTTGTAAATTAAGTTCAGCTTTATCTAAGTGGGAGTTAGGTGCCTGTGGCCTAAGGCTCCAGCAGCTTCAGCTTCCCATGCTCAGCCACTACTTGTGCTAGTTCCGTCAGTTAAATGAATTCACCTAACTAAACTTACTTCACAACAACTATAATACAGATTGTACGTGGTTGTTAAATTTAGAAGCATTCACTGCTCTGGTGTCATTGCTTTTGGAAGGAATCCATTGACCTATCAACTGTTTCTCATGGAATCACAGATGTATGTGTTTGTAAAATAGATGCACACATTTATGTTATGCTAGCATCTGGAAATCTTGCACTTTGGAGCTCAAAGTTATCACTCCCCGAAAAAGTCATAATTTAAGATAATCATAGATACATATGATAGGTCTTTGCTTTAGAGACTATATGTGTGTGTATATAGGGTTTGTTGCCAGAAATCAGTTTTAAAGTGGGTGTCACAGGGAAGAACCTGGACCTATTTCACCTGCTTGAAGAAGAGGTGCTTGCTTTGTGTCACTGTGTGAGAAACGTGATACCAAGGAGGACAGCTACTCGTAGTAAGGAAAGAACCCAAATGCAGGAGAGAAACCGGTTTTAGAGTTCACCCTGTGGGAGATTGTTCCCTCATGAAAGAAGATGGACAAAAGAATAATATCTGTTGGCTTGTCTGACTAATATGGGAATATATCCTCCAGTGGGAGGGAGAGAGAAAAGAAGAGGAAAAAAGTTAAGTAAGAATAACTATTGAGATCTCCAAGAGAGAGAATTCAGGAGAAAAGTCAAAAAAAGACCTTTGTATGCCTTGGTGCACTCAGTTTACTTGGGACATGAGCTTTATCTGAGTTCTATGGAATTTTTTATAAGACACTTGAGGAAAAGAAAAGCCCACAGAAACTCAAAACATCATGCAGTCCTTCTGCTTTTCTGAAATAAATATCTAAATAATTCTGACACGTAATTGATACATGAGTTCATTATTTCTAGTTTCCTCCTTATCTGCAAGCAAACAGTTTTCAGAGGAAGTTGGAGATCAGCATAAATTCCATGTAAAGTCATTCTATATGACTGATAGCTTGGAATAAAAAAAATTAAATTCAAAACCAGACCCCCCCTATTCTATAGTCTCTCAATATAAACAAACAGTATTTTCTTTGAAGTTAAAAGAGGTTCCTGGTAGTTCTTGTGACCCTTCAGAAATGCTTGAGTTTCAGAAAACTGTACGTTTGACCCTCGCTGGAGAAAATACTTTTTCTCTGAAGCTTTATACTTGTGCTGATAAATTAATATACTTGTAGCTGAGGGGTTACCCCAGGTATCCGGACTCTGTTTGTGTTTTTGTCAGAGCAGATTTAATTTGAACAGATTCTACAGGTTGAGTGGAATGTTTCTGCAGTTAAATGTGCCCTAACTGGGTTTTGGATAGAGAGAAAATGAGAACAAATCAGTAACTGAACTGCATGAATTTAGCTTCCTTTCTATTTTTGTTTCTCTCAGAGTTACATAAGGGTATTGAAAGCAGATTCCCTTCTCCCCCCCCCCCCCCCAAAAAAAAAATGTTCTGAATACATTACAATAACCTCTTTGTTTATTTCTTTACACTGAATCATACAAAAATAGAAAAGAGTTCTTTAATGTCTCCTCAAATTTGCTATTCCACTTGTATGGTTTGTCAAAAACAATAAATGAACGAGCAATTGAAATGGAGGAAAAGCACAGTAGACTTTAGAATTTGTTTCTTCTGAGCGGAGTGACCCAGTGCGTGTTGTACTGTGTCATGAAGTTAGCTTTTTCATTAATCAGCTCAAGGTTGGAGGCATTATTCTCCTATTCTCAGCCTTGGTAATTAGAAGCTTCTGATTTTTTTTCTTATTTCTATAGCTAAAAATAATTTTCAACCTATTATTTTTATTTTGATAGAAAATGGTTCTGGTTTGATAGAAAAAAATATTTTGATAGAAAAACATTGTATTTTGATAGAAGAACATTTCTTTTTTTTTTTTTTTTCTTCTGGCTTAACCTCTAATAATCAATATTTATAGGTCTTCCTTGTTTTGGCTCGGAGGAAGGTGGGTAGAGGGTCGCAAAGCATCGCTGATTTGGAGAGGGAGTGGGAGCTGTTCCTAGCTCAGCCTTGCTTCTGGCTGAGATGGATTTGTAGTGGAACCACATCACAGTGTAACCTCTGGCCTGATCTAATTATCAGCATTTACACTGGCTAACTTCCTCAGTAGTGGGCAAAAAGTCAGGTAACTGACAAAACCTAGAAGTAATTAAAATGCACTTCATGATTTAAGGAAGAATGTTATTCAAGCAGTACGTCTCTTCCTGACCTGTAACTTGAAGTGTCACAGATTAAAATACTTGAGTCATGTGAAAGAAGATAAAAACAGTGAGTTTGCATAACCTTCACTTTCAAAAACATTTTTGTATCAGAGGTAGTGTGGGTTTGCAATCCAGGAAATTGTGATTCCAGTTTGCTATTGCCTTTGAGCAAATAGCTAAAACTCTCTATGCTCAGAAACTCTGGCTTAATTTATCTGTGATGCATGAAACTCTTCTTCTCATGCTTTACAGTAATGCACGTTACTTACAGCATTTCTAGCAACACACTTGAGGCTATTAAAGTATTTGAGCGTGCTAAAAGTCAGACTGATTTCCTCTAAATGAAATTCAGTTCAGTTTGGTAAGGACCACGTCAGTTCTGATCTGAGACTAATGAAGAGTTTCAGTCCAGCCAGTCTTTCCTGTGGTTAATTTATTGTGTTCCAAAAGAGATTGCACTGTAGTCATCCTTATTTGAAAGAGCACTTAGTTTTATGTTTATACTCGTTCTGACTGTTAAGAATGAAATTTTTGGAAGGTGACATTGTACGAAAGAAAAATCTTGCAGCGCTGCTTAAACACACACCGATGCTGACATTTTTAAAATTTTGTTTTAAATAGAGATACTATAAAATGCCTGAATTTGAGAATTGTAAATAGATTTTGAATTTCCAGTAGGTCCCAAGGTCAAAAAACCTTGGTAAGTGAAGTTGGACACCTGTTGTGACTTAATGATATTGGACTGTGAATCAGCGTGTGTAAATTAAACAATGGGGGAAGCATTAGAAGTACTTAATAACAATCTTTCTAATGGATTACTGGGTGATCTTGTTGCACCAAGCATCCCCTTACTTTTGGAGGAGGTGAAAACGGTCTTTGGTTGAAAGGAAGAGTAATACTAGTTCATGTCAAAGTGACATCAATGTGTTTTAAAAGGTTTCTTGTAGTCTGCAATTTATAACTGATTAAGGAGGCAAAGACCATTTTTCTCCCCCTTTAAAAAACAAATAACAAAGTCATTGTAGGCAGAGGTGGGAGCAGAAATCGTAAGATATCCCAAATCTCTCTGTCATCCATTTTGCTGCACAGCCTTTCCCAATTAGCTTAATGAGCTTTGCTGAACTATTAGGCATCAGTATTTAAGCATCACAGCACATTCTTTAGAGCTGTCTGAAAGATCTTGAAACTTTATACTTCACTGTTACCTCAGAAATACCATTTAAAATTGAATGGCTGTGTGTAGTATCTTGATATCCTTAGCATTTCTTACATTTAAACTAGGATTTGTGTATTACATTCCTTTCTTAGGCATCTACTTTTCCTGGCAGATGGATCTGTGTTTGGCTAGCTGGACATATCCCTGGCTTAGCAGGATGGTTTTGTGGCAATTTTATTTAACAGGACAAAGGACACACTTTTGAGATACATTTTTTTATTTTTAGAATGAAGCGTGGTCTGAAAATTGCAGCTGGAATGTTCTGGGCAATACCTCAGTGTTTTACATTGCCTTGGCGTATAAATAAAAAGGTGCTTCTGTGTAAGAAAAACAACACATTGTTGGTCTGAAGTGATTCTGGGTTTTCTGAATGTGGTGTTTACGTGTTCCCAGTTGAAAGTGGCTGTGCTGAACAGCGTATAACCTCAGGTGAAGCTACCATGTGTTCTTGGAAGTCAGTTTGTAAACAAACCCAGTAGATTAACCTTGATAAATTTTCCCTGTTTGCTTGCAGAGATATTACATACAGCATTTCTTTGGAAGCTGTGACAACACTCATCGTCTTCCTCTCCTGCCAGTTATTCCGCAAAGAAATTCTGCGAGAGAGCATCATCCACAAACACCTGATGCGTGGCCGATGGTACGTCGTGTTCTGGGGTGGTTCCTAACAGCAGAGCAAATGCTTCTGATTGCTTGTAGACAGTTTGTACCTGAAAACAAATACAGTTGAATACATTTTGATAGAAAACTTGTTCTGCTCTAAAGAGAACAGAACACAAAAGAAAGTGGAACACAAAAGAAAATGGAACACAAAAGAAAACAAAACACAAAAGCAAACATTTGTAAAGGCTGTTGGAAGGTTCCAGGGCTAAATCTCACAGCCCAGACTTCAGTAAAACTCTTTTGGAAGCCATTTTCATTTTTTGAGGGTTATTTCATTAACCTAAAACAGCTTTTACTTTTCAGGATGGATTTTTTTGGTTCAGCATGGGTCTTTTCTTGTAACAGTGCAGTCTAGAGAAGCTCAGAATTGCTGATGGGCCTTTTTGTGATACAAATACATAGCCCTCAAAAGATTGCAAATATGTGCTACTCTGAGTTGTAAGCTGCAGTAGTGCAAGTACTTGGCAGGTAGTAAACTGGGTCCTGTGTGTAATAACCTCTTGTTCTGTGAGTCAGTTGTTTCATTTAAATGCTTTGTCACGATGGCTTATATGCATCATTGTCTTTCAACTTTAAATACCACACAGGCAGATTTTTGGTATGTACGTCTATTGTCTGGTGTTCTGGAATATCTCCTAGATGTAACAGAGGAATACTGCTGTGGGGTGATGTGCAGGGAAAGGAGGAAGGCTCAGCTTTGAGTCTGTGGGCAGACTTCAGCCTCAAGCAGCAGCAGTGTAGAGGCAGAGCCTCAGTGTGCATGGAGTTTGGTGCTTCAATCTCCAATTAAAGGAATTGAGGGTTTGGGGCAAAATGGGGAATGTTTGGGAGAATATGGTCTAAGGGGTCTGGGTTGGGAGTAGCAGGTACTTGGCCTCTGGAGAGAGGAGTGGGAATTTGATGTCTGGGAAGCTGTGGCAATGCCAAGAGTTGAAGGTATGCTGGTTTGAGGGGACTGGAGTTCATCATAGCACATCATTACAATTATATCATCCTTACTGTCTGTTCACCTCTAAATTGTATGGGAATAGGAACCAACTGTTTGCTACCGTGGAAATCCTTCTCTGTTTTGGAAATAGTGTAACCTTTTATTTAAATTAAACGATTTTTACATGGGTTTGTCAGAATCACTGACTCGAGGTCAGATGTTTTGTTGGTCTTTGCAAATGGGCCGCAGCTTCACAAACAAACACAGATACTGGGGTAGAAAAATGCTCTTGTTACCTGTTCTATGTAACCAAAGCATAGAGCAAAACCTGAACCAGTGTAATGTTTCTCTCCCTTGCACAAACATTTTTACAATCGTGTCTTGAGGTAGAAGAATTCATTAATTCCACAAACTGATTTAAAAGTACTATTGAAAAAAGAAAACAAAAAATAGTGTCCATGATGCTGCTGTTAAAGGTGCCCCAGCAGAGCTCTCCTCAAGCTGGTGCAGCTTTGCATGGGCAAGGCCTTGGCATTCTTTCCCTTTCCAGTCTCCTCAGCACTGGGAGAGCTACTGTCTGTTTTTAATGGCAAACTCCAGCCTTTGCACCCTGCCTGGGCTTTGTTGTGCCAGATTTTGCAAGTTGTGAGTCAGCTAAAGCTGTTTTCTTTTTCTTTTCAGTCTCCCATACACCAGCAGACTTGTGAAAACTTTACTATATAATTTCATTAGACAAGAAAGAAGCCCTCCTCCAGGGACCCATGTCTTTCAGCAGCAAAGTGATGGAGGAGGACTGCTTTACGGAATTGCATCTGGGGTGGCAAGTGAGTCTTATTTTCTATAAATGATACTTCAAACCTTACAAAGTAGCATCTTCTGTGTGACATATCTTACAAGATCACCTGTGGCCTGTTTCTTTTCAGCATTTCAGGGATAACATTGTGCATGCTCAGTATAGAAAAGGTGTCTGGATCGTAATCATATATATTTTATCTTGACATGCTTTAGAACCTGAAGCAATTGTTATCTGCAGGACAGCACATGGTAACAGTGGCACGTAGTCCCTATTTTTCTTTTATTGAGACGTTAAAAAAAACCCTGAACAAACAAGTAGTGCCTCGTTTGATAAATCACATCCTTCAAGTTGCTTAAAATATTGTAAGAAATACTTTTATGTTCGTATTTTGTAATTACTCAGTGGCCATGGTGACCTGCTCTGTGGCTCTGCTTGAGCAGAAGGTTGGACTAGGTGGTCTTAAGAGGTGCCGTCCAGTCTTAAGGATTGTGTGATGTAAGGGAGTGACCTCGACAGGAATATTTGTAACGTATTGTAGTGTGTGCCTTTCCTGGTAGGTTGACTAATGTCTTTTCCTGAATAGTATGACTAGATTCTGACCTTTTGTGGGTGGCCCGTTTGTTATAGACAGATATTGCCTGAAGAACGTGAAAGACTTGATGCCATTTTTTGTTAAGAAATCGGGGCTCTCATGTTTGTTACACCATGTTTTGGTTGGTGGTTTCTCTCTTCTCCATACCAGATGTGTTTTATCGGTGTGTGCATTATTACAGAGAAAAATTCTCCCTAAAGGTTTTTCATTTTCCATATAAGAAGAATGAAAAAACAGTATATTGCTAACACTAAAGGTACACGTTACTTTCTTTTTTCTGTGATAAAGTAAGTAACACTTTTCAAGTCAGTTGCTGTTAGAACTGATGCTATTTGTTTTGCTTTTTTGTGAAATCCATTCACTGGCAGCATCCCTAGGGGATATTAAAGTTCAGGCTGCGAGTGGTCTGCCAGAAAATGTTTCACAGCCTGTGTCAGTGCATGTGGATCTCCTCACGGAGGCAGTAAAAGAGCATGTCTGTGTGACTTGGCACAGCATAGTCTAAATACATCCCTGCTTCTGTGTAAGATGAGGTTACGCACGGCTAGCTCAGTGTGCTGCTGGAACATGCATCTTCTCTCTGATTTCCACTTTACACGCTCAAGGGTAGGCCACTGCGATGTTTGCATCGTGCCTGTAATGTAAATGCTTCAGAAAGCAGTTGCTTGATTTGCAGTTTATTTAAACAGAAAGGAAATTAATTAAATTGTTCCCTACGATGTTTTTATTCCCGAGTCCCAACAGGTACATTCTTTTCAGTTGCTAGAGAAAATTGCTCTTCAGATGTTTTTCTGAAGCAGTTTCAGAATGTGGTTTGAACTTCTGCTTGTGATAGAAGAGTGGTTCTCTTTGCGTATTCTGATACTCTGCTACCTTGGTTCTAATCTGTCTTATTACACTTCAGTGTCCTTCTGCCTTAGTACAGCCACAGAGAAAATGGCTTTGTTTCCCCCCATTCCTCTCCTTATTTGATTTGTAGAGTCCATCCAAATTGCCGCCACTCCTGCCTTCCTCTAGTGCCTCCAATATTACATGCACTTCTTACATACTGGGTTTGCGTTTCTAAATGCAAACTCTGAAGGTTTCAGCCTACGTCTGTTCTTGTCTCTTCCTACACTTCCACCCCCTTCACTCCTCTAAAACCATTCTCTTAATGTCTCCCTTGGTGTACTCCTACGCTTATTTTCTTGCTCCTTTCATGAGTACCTGAAGTACCATCTCTTCTCCCAGCGAACTGAAGATATCCATTTAAAGCTTTAAGTAAAAGAACCTTTATAGAGAGTTTTCTAATGACCTGCCTGGGAAAGGGAAAATAATAAGTACCACATCCTGTTAGGAAATAGAAGTACTTTTTCTGTTTGGGCCCAGACAGTTGTTTAATGGTTTTGTGTATCTGATTATTTGCCTGTAGATGCTGTTGGACTATAAAGGACACCGTAAGATTTCTCGAGTAAATAGCATTATTTGTCCATCTGTAATATCTCCACGTTAACCCTTTTCAGTCCTTTGTTTTATATAGCATCTGATATGTGGGTAGAGTGCTGTACAGCTTAGAAGATGGTAACACAAACTGAGAGTGTATTTTTGGAACAGAAGCAAGTTTAAAGCAATGAAAAAACACTTAGACATGATTTCTGTGTTGTGGGTTTGTGGGTTTTATTTTTGTGTATTTTGTAATCTTTACAGGAGAAGAGTTCAGAGAAGAACAGAAGAATTGAAAATTCACTTTTATGTTGCTCAGTCTTTTAAATATCACATAATGCTTAAAATAAGTTTACTGAAATAGTCTAAATATAATCTACTTAGGATGAAAGGAGCTAGGAGCCTAGTTTTAAAAGAATCTATTTTTCATATTAAATTCCAAGGTCTAAAATAATTATTGTACTTGTCAGTTTGAAATAATTTAACTTGGTATGTCATATACGTTAGCACGTATTACATTACACATGTTCTGTAGTTACTTGTACAGCAGCAGTAGAGCAACAAGCTCTTATAAGAGTTGTACTTTAAATCCACCCCCCCCTTCCTTCCTTGTGATTCAGCAGTTTACCCTTTCCCACAGTTAACGTTCTCTTGCTTCTCATCCTTCATATCTTGGGTTTTTTCCTCTTATGAGCCTCCTCAACCCTGAAACCATGCAGCCAACATCCTCTCATCAATTATGCCTCCTTAGTTCAGCCTCTGACTCTGTGCAGGGCATCTGTGTGCACGTACCTTTCACCATCCTACATACCTTGGTTAGAATTGTATTGCCAGTTATGCTGTTCTCCAGCTGCTAAATAAACAATTGTGGGTTCAGAAAGAGGGAGGCAAATAATGATATTTTAGTTCAGTAACTTCATAAAGGATGTTCTATACTGAGTCACCTTTGTCTTTGCAGTCTTTCTGTAGGTGTGCAAGATAATTGTAAAGTGCTGCTAGTTCTGGTGCTATGTTGTTGATGTGAAGGCATAAATTACATCAGTATGCATGGTGGTAGAGATGAGACCTCATATATTAGAAATTATTTCTCTTTGTTCACAAGGTACATTGAAATAACTTAGCTTCAAAAAATGGTTTGAGGTTTGGGGGTTTTTTTTGGCTTTAAATCCCCTCCTCTTTTTTTTTGGAGTACTGTTAGCATTTGCCAATTCATGGTCCACAGTTAACCAAGTTGAGAGAACTTTTAGTGGACAAGCAAGATTTTTTTTAATTAGTGATTTTATTTCTTGCACAATAAAATTCATGTTACAGTGAGGAACTGCCAAACAGATGATATGCTAAGACAGGAGAATGTTAGTGCTACTCAAGGCTGTTGAAAAATAAGTCAATTCAAAGGGTTTCATTTGAAATTGTTGATCCAGTTTATACTTTGCTATTAAAAAGACCAAACACTTTAATGCATCTTGCAGTACTTAGGAGTTACTGCAACAGTAAGATCTAATTGACTTAATTTGTGCTGTTTAGATGATTATGGATGTAATGGGTACAATGGTGTACCTGTAAGAAACTAATGAAAAGGCAGTAGCTGGATTCATCTTCATTAATCACCTAAGCAACCATCATCACTAATTTGGCCCACAAATGTACTGTCGTAGTATTCATCTAAATTGCAGAATTCAATGTGTAGTGGTCAATTATGACTTGTTTTCTCATGTCTGTACTCTTTGGTTGGAACCAGACAAACATCTCTGGCCATTAATGACTTTCTATCATGTAAGTATGTACTTCACTCTGCATTATGTCATTCAGCATTAGTGCACTTGAAGGCATTGGATGACCTCTGTTGTACATCTGTGAGTTATATATATATTGCAGCTTATTCCTTTTATTTTTCAGTGCTGTACTTTGGTTAATAGGAACACTTGCATGGTTATCTTCAACTTTACAAGAAAACTGTTCATGACTATTTGGTGGTTTGTGTTAGTATCTTTTTCCTCTTCAGTTTTACAGAGTCTGATTAGTAATATCTAGATTAAAACATGTCAAAGTAGAGAGACACAAAAAGCTACTAATGATAAGTCTGTTATTTCTTATGATTCCATCAAGCTTTTTTTCTACTAACAAATATTTCAGGCTGGTTGTTTCTACCTTCCAGAGCCTTTTCATGATGTGTCACAGATCTGGTGTATGATCTGCTACATAACTACAACCTTGTCTGTCTCCCTGGTGCTTAGTCAATGTTTAATTGCCTGTTCATGCTCACCATAATGAAAGTGTAGATCTGAGACTTCTTTCCCAGTTTTGTCTGTTCATCTTCTCTGTAACAGTGTCCCCTTCTGGTCTTGTAATCGTGGTGTTTTGACCTGACTGAATGTGAAGATTCTGGTAATGTATAGATCTTTAACCTTCCTCTTAGTTTCTCTAAAAATGCATCCAAACCGGAGCAAACTGTATGTTTGTAGTTCAAGGACACATTCTTTGAGGCTAAGTAGTTGAGTATTAATAGTAGTGTAGCTGTGGCAGGCTTCGTCTGCAAAAGCTGCTTGGCAAATTGGGATCTGGAGCAGCTTCATCCTGACTGAAATCTGTGCTGTAAGGACCATAGGAGCTGCTTTGAAGTTTGGTTGAGCTACTGCCAGAGAGGGGCCTAAATGAGATATATGAGATATAACTCATCTTCTGTATAATGTAGCACAAAAAACCATTGCCTCTGGCATAAATCTCTGAAGGCCGGTGATGTGTTCACCGTCAAGCTTTTGCATACTTCCTTTGACATACACTGTGTTGTGTTTTCTGTTTTTCTTGAAATTTAATTTATCTTTGTGCTTTTGAATGATGTGAGGGCATAGAACAGTTACACAGCAGCAGTGCTTTAGTAGCATGCCTTGGTCCCAGGTCCACCAAACACTTGGGGCTTTCAACCACAAGGATCTGAAATTGGAAGAGTTGTACTATAACTCTTTTAAGAAGCTCTTGATCAGTCTTACAAGCTTCACCAACCTATTCTTGATAGT